TTATATCATATTATATTATATTATATCATATTATAATATATCATATTATATTTGAAGACACTTTTTTGGGGGGGTCTCAGGAGTATATTATATTATATTATATTACATTATATTATATCATATTATATTACATTATATCATATCACATTATATTATATTATATCATATTATATTACATTATATTATATTATATTATTTCTGACCATATCATTGTTAACCCTAAAACCTGTGACCTAAATATTTCTGACCATAACATTTCTTCCCATATCACTTGTTCTCAAACGGTCTGCAAGCACAGAATATCTTAGTGTCTTTTCTTACCTAACGTCGAAGCAAAACGGGAAGGACAGGAACACACCGAGCACAGAAGCATCAGACTCACCACCTCAGTTCAGGGTTCACTGGTGGACAGGACACAGAAGACCGGGTCGTGGTAGCTGTGGTAGGTTCTCATGACACCTGAATGGAGACATCTGTGCGGCTGGGAAATGAAAATGAGATCCAGCAGAGTGTTCTTCTCTGTGGTGGGAGAGGTGATCAGCTGCTCGTATCCCCGAGACCGAAACTGCTCCAACACTGGCTTGGCTGAGCCGACTGCCTGGTTCTCATTGAAGTCTCCACACACAACAACAGGCTGACAATCCAACAACTCCAGTGAATCCAAAAGGCTTACCAGATTTTCCAGGAAGGGTCTCAGGCTGTAGTCGGGAGGTCTGTACACAGCTGCAATCACTGCCCTGAATGGAGCCTCAACCTTCAAAGCCACAAACTCTAAGTCAGTCACATTGTGCAAATAGGTTAGTTCACGCACCTGCATGTGGTTCCTTGCATAAACGGCAACTCCACCACCACCTCTGCTGGCCAACTGAGGAAAGTTGGTGTAGGACGAGTGCCTGTTCCGTCGGAACATGTTGTAGCCGTCCAGCTGAAGACTGTCTGCAACAAAGGAGCCTTTCAGGTGAGTCTCAGTCAGACACAGCACATCTGCCAAACACAGCTCATGATGTCTCTTGATGTCCTCCACGTGAGACGGAAGCCCCTCTGTGCTGTGATGAACCAGGGTCAGAGTGTCAGGCCTGTCTACTGCTGGTCTCAGCTGAAGAAGGGGCATCACGTGCTCCACACTGGCCTGTCTCATGCTCTGCAGCTCCGCACTCACCTCAGGATTGGCGTAGATTTTCTTTTCGTCCAGATCCAGCAGGTACAGGCCGCTGAGAGACGTCACCCTGCTGAGAGCTACATAAGCCATACCTGGTTCAAAGATCTTCTTGAGAGACACCACGGCCGCGTGCGTCGTGAGACCCTGTGTCTTATGGACAGTGCAGGAGAAGGCCAGCTTGATGGGGAACTGCCTGCGAACCACGCCGTTCTGCTTCAGGTTCTCCTCTGCCCTCTCGATGTAAACCACACCGGCAGATTGGGTCTGATGATCCATGGTCAGGCCCAGCTTAGCGATGCGCTGATCCTCCTCAGAAGCAATGACACACGTTAGCGTAGCAAAGGCCCCGTTAACCAGACCGTTCAGGACGTCGATGTTTCTGGTGAGCATGACCCGGGCTCCCACGGCAACTTTCAGAGTGTCCGCTAGGTCGTTCCTGGTTCCCTTACACGGTGCGTCTTTGCGTGCCATACGGCCTGTGCGTGGATCTTTGTAGAAGTCGTCTGCATCTATAGTGAGAATGTTAGAATGGAATAAAGACAGTGCAGCAGAGTTGTGCTCATCGACCAACCTGTTTGTAGGGAAAATGTGCAGAACCTCAGTGGGACAAAGGGACGGCTCAGTGATGACCTGGGACAACAAATCTCTGTCGGCCTCAGAAAGCTGGTCAGCTCTCTCCTTCACCCGAATCCTGTTGAGCATCTCTGCGAAGGCAAGGTCATCTTTCTGTCTCATTATCTCTGTCAGAGTAATCATCTGGAAATGCTCCCGCCACAGATCAATGTCGGCCGGCTCGTGCACACACAGAGGTTTAGACTGTCTTACCGGGGGCAGCTGGTAAAAGTCTCCAACAGCTAGAACCGACACTCCGCCAAACGGTCTCTGATTACCTTTGATCTGCTTCAGCCGCGCGTCCACGTAAGCAAAGAGGGGCTTGGAAACCATGGAGATCTCGTCAATGATGATGATCTGCGCGCTGAACAGTTCAGCCCTGAGTTCATCCAGCTTGTTCCCCAGGCCTTGGATCGGTGGTTTCAGACTGCGAGGAAGCTTGAGCAGAGAGTGGAGCGTGGTTCCACAGATGTTGAAGGCTGCCGTTCCAGTGAAAGCAGTGAGTAGAACCGTCGGAGTTGACAGGTCAAACTCCTCTGAGAACACTTGCAGTCTGCTCAGGATCTTGCGTGCCTCTGAGTAAATGCACTTGATCAGGTGGGACTTACCTGTTCCCGCACCGCCATTTACATAAAGAAAAAACTGTTGGGGGTTGAGACCGCACACCAGTTTAAGGCACCAGTCTCTGATGGCATAGAACACACAGGCCTGCTTCTGGTTCAGGTTCTGGTACATCTGTCTCTGCACAGCGGGGTCCATAGCCGGGGGTTCTCTGACGGCTCTGATTTCTGGAACGCCAGCAGACTCGGGACAGTAGTCGGGCACGTTCTCCTGCTCGTTTTCGGCGTCCACGTCCGGAAGCTCGTCGTCACACTGCAACCTTACCACGTCAGACTCGGGAGCAAGATTGCACCATTCGTCCAGCACGCGGTCTCTGCTCTCCTCAAACTCTTCACGGGCCTCCTCGATCTCCTGACTGTTCTTCTCGTACCTGTCTTTGTTGGCTTTGACAACACTTTTCACGCTCTGCACTCGATCGGAACCCGGTGGACAGACACAACCAGAGTTGTAAAAGGACTCAAAGGTGGGCAGACGGGGACTGCGCAGTTCCAAGTCAGACCTGTGCGGAAGGTAGAGTCTCAGCAACGTGGCGTAGAATCGCTCGGGCTCTTTATCCTTGGAACAGTGGTAATACCTGATGACAGAGGGCTTGTCGTTTTTCCTCCTTTGAACGAAGCCCAGCTCGTTGAGAAGCGGTAAAACACCCTTGACATTTGCCTTGTCTGAACTCACAAACCTGCAGGTAGCGGCAAAGTCGGCCATGCACATCTGCTCGTAGTCTGCCGTCTCAGGTCTGGCTTTGTATTTGTCGCTCAAACTGGTCATCCACACATTGGAAGACTCGGACGGCATTCCCTCCAAGAAGGACATGGGCCGGCTCATTTTCACAGGATTGTCATCAGTGGGGATGAAGATGGAGCTGCGAGAACACTTTTTCATTTTTATCCCACATGCTCGAGTCACACACTCCTGAGCGCTGATCTCTCTCTTTTTGGAGTAGGCCTGCATGACAGCTCTCATCTCATCACACTCGTTCACTCTGTCCAGGTGGGAACTGTCCAAGACGGTTTTCAGGTACTCGGACAGACCGCTTTCCTTCTTGGTGATGTATTTGGTCAGATACTGAATACAGGAGTAAGCATTTAGAATGAAGGACACATCAATGTTACTGTCCCAGGCCCTGAGCAGGTGTGGGTTGTAGTTGTTGATCCAGCTGTCCTTGGGATCACGCTTCAGGAAGAGGGCAGTCTTATAGTTCATTCTGTGGAGGTACCGTTCGTACTCGGCCAATGTCAGGTTGCACTGAGAAAGGACCTGCTCCAGAGTCAGGGAAGTGAGGTCGGCATCGTTGAGCAGCTGCATCACAGGTCGGAGTTTTCTCTTTGCAACCTGAGTGTCCACGTCGTCGTCGGGTCTGCTGATCATGGTTTTTCTGCAGGGGGGCTTTGGAAAACCGAAGCGACAGCCGGAGTTCACACTTTTGAAACAGGACCTAGTGTGGTTCTTACTGTGCTTCTGGACCTCAGAGACTTTGCGGTACAGGTCGGGTTGCGTTCGCGGGTCAGGGAGTTGCGCCGAGATGTAATTATCGACAAAAGCGCATACAGTTTGATCATCGTCGACATCCAGTTCGGGTGCTCCTTCAACCCAAAGCATCGCGTGAATGTGCGGACTTCCTCTGTGCTGAAACTCAACTCTGTAGAAAAAGTCAATCACTCTCCCCAGAGGCTGAGCGTCTGACAGCAGCAAATCTCTGAAAAGAGCCTCCACGCGCTTATCAAAGAGCTGCATGCAGGTCACAGGGTTGGATCGGAGAATCTCACACTTTTCCGACCAGTCCAGAGCCTCCACGTCAACCTGCTCACCCTGTTGTCTCTTTATGGCTTCGATGACTTCGGGCCATCGGAATTCGGCAGCCGAAAAGGTGCAGAAGAAGGTGGGAGTTCCCAACTGTCGGATCATGGCAAACAGATCTTTGGTGGTTTTCTCCCAGTATGCCGGAGTGCCTCTGAGCGGCTGCATGAACCTGATGGCATCTTTATTTCTCACCAGTCTCTCCACCTCTCGTTTGTTTTGCAGCATGCCCGAGGTGATTCTGCGCCCATCTCTGGTCAGAGTCTTCCCTTTTCTCAGCTGGATGGTCATGCTGTGATGAGCCAAATGAATCTCTGTCACAAATTGTGCAAAGAACAAGTAGTTTGGGTCTCTGGCAAAGCGATGGTCCACGTGAAACAGCCGGGACTTGAAATACCCACTGGGCGTGACTTTAATGAGTCTCTGCATGTCAAAGGTGTTCTGGCCCGTGGGGAACTGAACGGGGAACGACACGGCTTCCAAATTGGGGGTTTTGAAAAAGCTGACTGGATTGTTTCCTTCTGCAGGAGCCACACAATAAGCGCTGTCAGAGAAACACAGGATCTCTTCTGCTATGTCAACAGGCTGAAGGCAGGATTCTAAAGCAAACCCTCCATTTGGCAGATCACCTTCTTGTCCATCATTCATCTGCTGCTGGGCTCGTTCACACTCACCGTCATTCTCGCGCAGAGCGTTTCTGTCACACTCTTCAATCTCCATCAGGTCTGCTTCATCATAGTCATCCTCAGCCATGCTAACATCATCAGCATCTCCATCACCGTCCTCCTCGTCTGGAAGCGTGGGGTCAGTTTCAGCAATGCAGCCACTAGCTTGGACCAGGTTACAGTCTGAAAAAGCTGATGACCTCTGTAGGACAGACGGCGCTTCAGTTTCACTCTCATGACCTGAGACTCACTCCTCAGTCTGGGTAACGCATTGACTGTTCCTTGGACCTCTGATGGCACACACACAACATTTCCCCTGATCAGTCTCTGTCTACCTCTGGGAAGAGGAATGATCTTTGCAAAGGGTATGCACTTTGCAATCAGATGTCTTTCCAGAATGTTCAGATCTGACAGCTCACAGGGAATATCAACTAGCTCCAGTCCGTTAGCTGCTGCTAGTGCTGGCATGTTTCCTTTGAGAAGATGACTGTGGCATGTGTGACAAATCCACTCTCCCCTTCTTTCATCAGGAACCGAGCACTGCTCACCTCTGCAGCCTTCGTCACAGACGTGGACATACTTTCCCGTCAGACACAGTTCAGCCACATTGGGTCTTTTCACATAACTGGACCTTGTGCAACGTTTCACTTGGTTGGGAAACGAGGCCTTATGACACACGGTGCAGACATAGGTGGGAGCAGCTTTTACATTAGCTCTGAACAGCGAAACAGCTTCGTGGAGTGCCGTGTCCTCAGGCGTTTCTGTCTCAGGGATTCTTCTCATGCGTCTGTATTTTCTTTTGATGTCAAGGGCACGTTTGATGTTGTGCATGGCTCGGAATGAATCACTGGAATGATATCTTTTTTTCATCAGTTCTTTCATTAATTGTTTGTGTCTCAATCTGAAGGTTGTGCAGGTTGCATAACGCTGGGTAATATAACGTCTCTGTCTCTGTCTAAATCTTTCATTGTCCCTGTAAGAATTTCTGATGTAGTCTTTCTGTCTTTGTTTAAAGCTTTCATTCTCCCTGTAAGAATGCCTGATGTAGTCTTTCTGTCTTTGTTTAAAGCTTTCATTCTCCCTGTAAGAATGCCTGATGTAGTCTTTCTGTCTCTGTCTAAATTTTGGATTCTCCCTGTAAGAATTCCTGATGTAGTCTTTTTGTCTCCGTTTAAAGCTTTCATTTTCCCTGTAAGAATGCCTGATGTAGTCTTTCTTTCTCTGCTGCAAGCTTTCATTTTCCTTGTAAGATTTCCTGAGACTACATTTTTTTGTCTCTCTAAACTCAGAACTCTGACTATACCGATTTTTCATGTACAGCTTTAGCTTCTGTTTTCCATCAGGGTCGTTTTTATATTTTCTGATTGAGTAAGATCTTTTCTTTTTTCTGAAAGTTTCGTTTGATGCATACATTTCTCTTTCTTTCCTTTTCTGATTTTCTTTCCTTAGTTTAGGGTTTTCCAGTCTCGCTAGTCTACTCTTCATCTTTCTCCTATGCTGTTTAGCACACTTTTTTAGTTTAGCTGAGATATCAAGAAGGACGTCTGCTTCCGGCCTCACAACCGACATAGAAACCCCAGGACACACATCATGTGAAGGACCGCTGACACTCATGGCTTCAACGGTGGAGTTGGAATCATGTGCGGGAACGTCACCTGTATCATGGGAAGCTGATTCCACCTCTGGTTGAACAGCAGTTGACATTTCCGATGAAAGCTTCTCAACCTGAGGGACAGCCTCATGTGTCAGAGGAGACGTACATACCGTGTTTGATGCAGCATTTGTCTGCCTGGATGAGTTGAGGCTGTGAAACGACACGGGCTGGAGTTCGTACACAGTAGAGGACTGGATTTCAAACACTGTGTACACCGACTTTATCCTGCCAATCATGTCACACAGATGGGTGAATTTCAGCATCACAGCAGTACCAAAGTTGAACAGACCATGGGAAACTGGCATTCCATTTTGGGTCCTGGCGTGTGGGTCGAAGTATCCGTACTGACCAGACTTTCCTCTGAAGACAGCAACACATGACCCAGCCATGATCAACAGGCCGTAGTGTACATCAGATGACAAACGGCTCAGCCCTTGCTCCAAGCTGGGAACTCTTTCTCCACCTCCAAATGTGCCATATTGAGCTGCCTGACTGAAGTCCACCTGATACCTACGTGTGCATCAACTTCAGCTGGGAGTTCATCCACTGCCAAATGGAGGCTTTTAGGAAAACGCTGTCTGGCCCGTCTGTACAGGGCATCACCTTTGTCCAGAACAAGGTCAAGCTCTGGTCTGCTAATCCTCTCGCTCTCGTGAAAAAAGGCCAGGAACACCAAACAGTTGGCCACACACTGACTATTCCTGTAGTCACCATACTTCAAAGAAGCCTGGCTGCGGGAAGCGCACACGTGTGTCACCAATGGCTGAGGCTCTACAATCACTGTGTGCTGGCGAGAAGGTGCGGCTGCATCACTGCCTCTCTTCAGCATGTCAGCATAAGACACCTTTGGGACTCTCTGCCTTACCTGCTGTGCAGCTTGTGTGACAGGGCTTCCATCAGAAGGGGCTGCAGGGCTGGACAAAGTGCTCTGACCTGTGCCGTTGTGCTGCTGTCCACCAACACACAAACCGTCTCTGGGCTGTCCTGACTGTACAGCGTCTGCATCAGGTACGTGCTGAGACACAGTGCCAATTTGAGGGTCGGTACCTTCAGCCTTCTCACCTTGAGACTCTCTGGCCTTCTGCCACCGGAGCTTGAGGGCCTGGGAACGCTTACCCTTTCTTGGCATTGTTGCTGCTGGAATACCTGGAAGCTTACCTCGAACGTCCAGATGCTCACAGGAATATGTGGTGCAGTGTAGTGTTTGAACTATCAAAAAAGTGATTAAACGTTTATATTGTCAAAATTAAAGTCAAAGCTATTTTATCACAAATTCTAGCAAATTTAGTTGAAGCAGATTTCCAAATGTTTGGACTGAATGACAGTCAGAGCTTCTTTTGGATGTTTGAACTACAGATATGAACAAAATCTATCAAATAAATGAATTTTTTTTTTTTTTTTTTTACAATTTATAAAAATAATATTTATAAATTATGTGTAAAAAAAGTTCAAGAGCAGTAAATATGATCAAAATGATCAATTAAAATAGAAAATGTTCCAATTTATTTCCAAAATGCAATGTGATCAGGTGTGAGAGATGTAGATAGGACAGAATGAGAAGTGAGAGCAGAGATTCTCTCAGAGCCCAATAACAGATAGACGAGGTATCGATTGACCTCAGATCCAAAGACCTTGAAACCTTTGACCAATAAGTTTGCCTTTAAACCAATATGCCAATAGACGGACCCATTGATACAGGGAGACAGATAGAGGCCCAATAAATTGCCCAAACAATGAGATGGGATAGGACAGTTAGAGAGAGCGGCCAATAAACAGAGTGAGCAAGGATAGAGGGATACAAGATACAGGACCAATAAACAGACAGAGCTGGGATAGAGGGATACAAGATAGAGGCCCAATAAACAGACAGAGCGGGTAGATGGGATAGAGGGATACAAGATGGAGGCCCAATAAACAGACAGAGCGGGTAGATGGGATAGGACAGATAGAGCGGCCAATGCGACAGCGACAAAGAGAGGGGATTTGGGGGCACCTTGAAGACACAAAGAGAGTCATTAGTGATCATTAAAAGGAGGAAATCGAACAGCACATTACGATCCAAAGGGTTCTGAGAGTGGGCTGAAATATGTGTCTGACAGTGAAATCCATCTCTTTTTCAGTGAAAATGTTCAGCTCCATTTTAGACCTGAAATCAAAGGTGAAGAAACCATACATGACACAGAACTGGTCTCTTAAAGAGCTTCTTGGTGTTCAGAGCTTTGTTGATCCCAAAGCTTCAAGTGGCCTCCAGCAGGAACTGCGGATGTGGGAATGAATGAATGGTACGTTGTACAGTGTGACAGCAGTGTCACACAAAAGTTCCTGTGAAACAGTGCAGCGAATGGGGAAACCCTCAAATCCCCCTAAAACTTTTACAAACTTCAGCCCTAACTATCAAGCCTACTTTCAGCTAGAAAAAATGCAACTTTTATATGCCTCTCAAGCCATTCAGCTATCCATCTATGACAGAGGTTTTTTAAATATGGCAGTTTTAAAATCATTGACAGTTTTTCTTACAAAACAAAAGATATGATTTTGTATCTTTTGGCGTTTTTATTTCACCACGTACAGAAAAAGTACAATAACAACACATGTGATGATGATATTTGTCTTAATGTAAATATTTGTCAACTATTAAATTGACGATCAATTTAAAATGTCGTTTTTTCACCCCAGTTGGTGTCACCGCCTCTCCAACACAAACTAGTTCTGCTGCTATCAGGAACACGTCCACATCAGCTATTCTGACTTATTACCACATATTATAAACAGTCTGAAGGCACAGCTTTCTCTGAAAGGAGACACAACGGGCTGAGAGGTGGTGACGAAGTTGAATAGCACCAGCGTCCACACGGCTGCCTTCACGTTGCTCCAGTAGCCGATTCAGAGGTGACCCACTTGCGCCTTTGTCTCAGTTTCCTGTGAGAGTCAACGTTCTGTGACAGACAGACAGACAGACAGACAGACACAAGTTTCCAACAGTGCTGAGACTCACCAGAAAAGCAGGAGAGGGGGTCAATGTATGGTGAGTCTAAAGAGAGGAGTAAAACAATATATCATTAGCAATTTGCAGGACGATGAGCAAACTTTGGATCAGGATTCATGGCAAAAAGGTTTTATTTTACAGGAATAACAGATGGAAAACATTTAGAAGGCTCATCATCCGTGGAAATCATGGGCTGAAGAGCTGCTGCTATTGGCTACTGTATCTGTCCACCTTTGACACAGCCTACATGAATTTGTCCTTGTGAGATCAATAAAGTATTCCATCAATCAATCAATTAGGACACAACCTGGAGCTGGACAGTCACACACTGTGTGTGCACATGTCAGGGCTTTTGAACACAGAAAAAGTGACAGGCTGAAATCTCTCGGTCTGAAGGGAAATGTTGGACTAAAACTGCATGTGAAATAGCTTAATTGTCTAAAAGATGATCAGCAGCATTTCACAGATTTGTTCAGTGTTTCAGGTGGTGAGACAAATCAATCCTGATGTTTCCCACATACACTCCCCTGTTACATTCTTTGCCATCTTAAGTTTACAATAATAATAATTAATAATAATAACCTACCAGCCAAAGCAGGGTGTGAAACAACTTTCTCTAAATCTGAGAAAAGATACAGTGACAGTTAGTTATGTGGTACAAAGATAGAACGTATCAGACCAAGGAAGAAAGTATTGCTCATTATCAGCTGTGCGTCTGTGTCTTTACATGCATAAAAATCCAACATTAAAAGGTCTCCATTACAAACAGCTTAATATAATTTGATGAATGAAAGCAACATAAAAGCAATTGGTAACAAAGGCAAGCTCTTGAGATTCAACCTCACCATTAAATTGACCAATTTCACCAGTTTGAGTGACTATGAGTGTTAGATGATGTTTCATAAAGTGTACAGGACACATTACAAGTGATGAAAGCCTGACAGATTTATCTGAAAGTGACCCAGAGACTCACAGAATATAACTTAATGAAACAGAGAGTGGGCCGCAGCTTTCTACATTGAAGACTGTCAACACACACTGTAATTTTCATAAATAAAGCTGGGACTCAACCGCAGGAGACATTAGAGACTCTGAATAAGGCACAGGTAGCACTAATGCTAAGGCTAACGTGGCTAACCGGGGCTAGCCGAAAAGAGGCACGTAACACGGTTCGTTTATGGGGATTTGAAAAAGCCTATTATCCCCGTATATTAAAGTCCAAAGAAGGTTTTTACAGCAAGCAGATATCTACGTGAAGCAGTACTCTTCATGTCGGACTGAAGTGTATGAGTGGTTTTTACACAGTTGCGAAAAGTGTTAGCGTGATTGCTAATGCTAACCACGAAGACTCAAGAGGAGATATTATGATGACTCCGAACATAATTTGTTTATCGGTGTCAGCTTTAATGTTAACCGTATGGCAGTAACTACAAAACCAGTCTTCGAGCCTAATTTGTGCAAGACAGTTTATAATATTTGGGTTTATGTCACACTGAGTGAAGGACGCGTCTTACCTTCGCAAAGTGAAGAAAGCCAGGAAGAGCTTGTGTCAAATTGACGGTGATTTTTCCGAGAGACGTTCAGGGCACAGTCGGATATTTGTACTTCAATGACGACTTCCTACTTGAAATGCAACGTCAATATAAGACAACTTGTTTGAGATGTGATTGGTTATTAAGAAAATAAAATTGAAATCTACAAATATTTATCAAAACGATAATGGGTCCAAATTAAGTTTAGGGTATACGCCGACAATTCTTTATTTTATATGTGATTCATAATATTCATGATAAAATAGAACAATAACTTTTAATACATCTTATCTTGTAATTTTAACTTGAAATATTTTAGAGGTGTCACGTTATGAAATGATGTGTTGATGTAGAAAAATGGTGAGGAATAAAATGCTGTGTGTTGCTCATTGGGCTTTATATTGCAGTTTCATTTCATTTACTTACCCCACTCTGCTTCAGTGGTAAGTTAACCCGACTCCGTGCTTCCTGTAATGGGAGCTGTCAATCAAGGTAGAAGGGCGTCCCCCGGGGGGTTGTAATGACGACGAAAGTGACCAATCATGAGAGGATCAGGGCCTCCTTGGTTTCCGCCCCCAGCAGAAATCAGCTGATGGAGCAAAACAGCGCTGTGCGCGCGAGCAGAAGCACACTCCGCGCGAGCAGAGTTATCCTTTGAGAACAAAGCAGGCGCTCGCTCGCAGAAACTTGTGCAACATAAAAATGACGCCACAGCTTTGACTTTCACCCAACCTAGCAACAAACGAGCAACAAATGACGTGACTGGGTCGCTGCAGAAGTAGTTTGTTTTGGAGAACGGAGACAGCTTGAAAAAAGACGTTTGATATTGAACGTCAATTGAATACATGACGAAGATAAAAGTTGAGGCAAATATCATCATCACATGTATTATTAAAGTGCTTTTGTGTACGTGTAGAAATAAGAAAACACCCAAAGATACAAAATGTTGTTAACCCGATTCTTTAGTTGGAAACCTGAGAATAAACCAGAGTCGATCTAGAGTAAAAATGGACATGTATTGGGTCACAGGTAAAGTATTTCAGCGCTGGGCTTTTCACAGAGGAAACTTCTCTCTCAGGGTCTCAGTCAGCAAAGAGCCCTGACATCTGGAGGTGATGGCTTTTCGCAAGTGTGAAAAGGATAACACAATAAAGTGTTAACATTTAAGGTGCATGCTGCTCTGATCTTGTGGTGGCAAAACGCTACTGTGCGGCTCTCCTCCTCCTCCTCGTCGCTTTGTGAGTGTGTGTGTGCGCATACATGAGTTTGTCTGGATTGGGAGGTCTCCCCATATTACCAT